TCTGAAGCATTAGTTGAATGTATTGACTGAAGACTTGAGTCATTTCTGCCTCAAAAAATCGCGACAAAGACTTGACGAGATCACAGGCCGCACGGCGTCGGGTGTCTACGTCTGAGCCCTCAATATCGCGGCGAATATATTCCTCGGGATTGTCCTCAAAAAGCTCTTCGTCTGAGACTCGGAACTCCATATTCGGGACAATAATCTTAGAACTTATTGAATCCAAAACGTTGTCCGCTTTGAAGAGGTGTTGGTATTGACTGCGATCGGCCACTGAAGACAGGAAGTGAATGGCATTACTGACTAATATGTCATATTTAGGTTGTGGTCCAGTGGTGATCAGTAGAGTCCACACCGACTGCACGAATCCCGGCAAATAGGGCTCAAATTCTTCGTTGTATTTCGAGGCATACATCCCGATGTTGTCGCAGATCTGGGACTTCAGCTGTTCTATAGGTCCCGCCTCCTCCTCGCTGTCTGTCTGCAGACACTTGTGATCGGCGGACAATAGGTTGAGGAAGTGCTTCATCCAGACCTCCATATTGTCTTCGAAAAACTCCGGTAAGTCCTGAGTGTTAAGACTATTGAATATTTTGGCGCAGAGTATAAGAGAACTGAAAATAATCTTAAGATTTTGGGGATTATTTGAGTGATTAATCGCCAACTGATTGGTCCACACGAAGAGGTCGGTGAAGGGCTGCGCGAATCGGGTCAACACATACTTGATTTCAGTCCACAATTCGTTGGACTGAAACTCGTGGCGATACCTCTTGAAGAGNTACTATAAAATTATTTAATAATAGGATTAGTTGTCTAGATTCTTACAATTGTTTAAATTTAATTTGAAGTTCAATCTTAATGTAATTTTGGAGGACAATAATTTTTGAAATCTATATCTTGGAGATTATAGCAACACATAGTTTTAATTATGTTTATGATGTAAATTCTCTTAAGAAAATCACTAAATATCAGATAAATTAGTTAAGATTGATCAAAAATATTGTTGAATTAATTGAAGATAAATTTTTAATATTTAAAATAATAATTTAATTTTTGTCCTCCAATTCTCCTCCAGAAAAATGCCTAATTTTCTTGCCTCTCCTCCAATCACTAAAAAAGTGTTGGCAACACTAACTGTATGTGTGACCCAATGTGTGCGCAAACGTTGGCTTCAATTGAAACAAACGTTTCTTCAGTCGCTGTTTGGTCTCAGCGTTTGATTCAATTGTTTCGCGATTTAGTATTCAATTGATTATAATTGGAGCCAAAAGTGAGCCACAAATGGATGAGTCTGTGAGTCAGTTGTCGACACAGTTGTTGCAAACTCTGTCACCGGATCCCAACGTGCGAAGAAAGGCGGAGAAGTGGTTGCAGTCGTGCGAGGGATCCGATGGGTTCGCCACTCTTCTNGCCAAAAGTGAGCCACAAATGGATGAGTCTGTGAGTCAGTTGTCGACACAGTTGTTGCAAACTCTGTCACCGGATCCCAACGTGCGAAGAAAGGCGGAGAAGTGGTTGCAGTCGTGCGAGGGATCCGATGGGTTCGCCACTCTTCTCCTGCAACTGATCGACGCCTCGGCGGTCGACCTGAATGTGCGGATGTCGGGCGCCATCGCCTTCAAGAACCTCATCAAAAGGAATTGGAGACAATCGGAGGATGAGGTGAATAAGATCGCCGAAAACGATAGGAACCAAATCAAGACAGTTATCATCGATTTGATGCTCAGGAGTCCCGAGAAGATCCAGAGACAGCTCAGCGATTCTGTCAGTATTATCGGTCGCGAAGACTTCCCCCAGAAGTGGCCCAACCTTTTGGACGACATGATCGGCCGCATGAGCGCCACTGAACCCAATTTCAATGTCATCAATGGTGTCCTCCAAACGGCTCACTCGCTCTTCAAGAGGTATCGCCACGAGTTTCAGTCCAACGAGTTGTGGACTGAAATCAAGTATGTGTTGACCCGATTCGCGCAGCCCTTCACCGACCTCTTCGTGTGGACCAATCAGTTGGCGATCAGTCACTCAAATAATCCCCAAAATCTGAAGATTATTTTCAGTTCTCTTATACTCTGCGCCAAAATATTCAATAGTCTTAACACTCAGGACTTACCGGAGTTTTTCGAAGACAATATGGAGGTCTGGATGAAGCACTTCCTCAACCTATTGTCCGCCGATCACAAGACAGTTCTCTTATACTCTGCGCCAAAATATTCAATAGTCTTAACACTCAGGACTTACCGGAGTTTTTCGAAGACAATATGGAGGTCTGGATGAAGCACTTCCTCAACCTATTGTCCGCCGATCACAAGAGTCTGCAGACAGACAGCGAGGAGGAGGCGGGACCTATAGAACAGCTGAAGTCCCAGATCTGCGACAACATCGGGATGTATGCCTCGAAATACAACGAAGAATTCGAGCCCTATTTGCCGGGATTCGTGCAGTCGGTGTGGACTCTACTGATTACCACTGGACCACAACCTAAATATGACATATTAGTCAGTAATGCCATTCACTTCCTGTCTTCAGTGGCCGATCGCAGTCAATACCAACACCTCTTCAAAGCGGACAACGTTTTGGATTCAATCAGTTCTAAAATTATTGTCCCGAATATGGAGTTTCGAGTCTCAGACGAAGAACTTTTTGAGGACAATCCCGAGGAATATATTCGCCGTGATATTGAGGGCTCAGACGTAGACACCCGACGCCGTGCGGCCTGTGATCTCGTCAAGTCTTTGTCGCGATTTTTTGAGGCAGAAATGACTCAAGTCTTCAGTCAATACATTCAACTAATGCTTCAGAAATACGCTGAAAACCCTTTAGAGAACTGGAAGAACAAGGATTCTGCCATTTATTTGGTCACTTCATTGGCTGTCAAGTCGGGAACGGCTCGTTTGGGAACTACATCGACATCAGAACTGGTCAACACCACCGACTTCTTCGTCAATGTCATTCGTCCAGATCTCGACCGCAACACTAATTTGACTCAAATCCCAGTTCTCAGAGCTGATGCTCTCAAATATATCATGACTTTTAGAAATCAATTACCATTAAAAGAAGTAATTATTCCGAGTTTGCCGCTCATTGTGCAGCACATGAGTGCTCCAAGTGTTGTGGTCCACACCTACGCCGCCCATACACTCGAAAAGCTGCTGACACTGAGAGACTCAACCCAACAGAAGATGCCGTCTATAAAACCGGACGATTTGACTCCATTTATGGATCCACTGCTGAATGGATTGTTTGGCATTTTCTCGATTCCCGGCTCTAATGAGAATGAATACGCAATGAAAGCCATTATGCGATCATTCAGTTTATTACAGGAGAATACTTTGCCTTACTTTCCACAGCTATTACCAAAACTGACTCAAAAGTTATCTGAAGTGACCAAAAACCCGACTAAACCTCACTTCAATCACTATCTCTTCGAGACATTGAGTCTTACGATACGAATCGGATGTCGAAAAGATCGGTCGTATGTCTCGAACTTTGAATCCGTTTTATTCCCAATATTTCAAGAGATTCTCATTCAAGACGTTCAGGAATTCATGCCATATGTCTTCCAAATACTGTCAATGTTTCTGGAAGTCTATGACACAACTATTCCTGAGCCTTATATGGAATTATTTCCACACCTTTTATCGCCTGTCCTGTGGGACAGACCGGCAAATATCGCACCTTTGGTTCGCTTACTGCAGGCGTACATCGAGAAGGGCTGTCAGCAAATCATTAGTGCCTCTAAATTGCAGCCATTATTAGGAGTGTTTCAGAAACTGATTGCATCGAAGACTAACGACAATCAGGGCTTTTATGTCTTGCAATCTCTCATCCAATTCGCTTCTCCAGAGAGTTTAGCGCAGTATATGAAGCAAGTGTTCGTCCTATTGTTCCAACGACTGACCAGTTCTAAGACAACCAAATATGTTAAATGTCTTCTCGTCTTCTTCTCCCTATTCGCCCACAAATATGGCGTCCAATCGCTGTCCGACACAATCGATTCACTGCAGCAAAGAATGTTTGGAATGGTTTTGGAGAAACTCTTCATTCCAGAGGTTCAGAGAGTGACAGGAAATGTAGAGAAGAAGATCATTGCCTTTGGAATGACGAAGATTTTATGCGAACTCGACTCCACTATCATTGGCCAATACTCGCAATTCTGGGCACCGGTATTGCAGTCATTGGTGGCTCTGTTTGAACTGCCCGTCGATGAGACCATTCCAGACGACGAACACTTCATCGAAATCGAAGACACTCTCGAATATCAGGCCTCGTATTCACAGCTGGTCTTCGCTGGACATCGAGAGCGCGACCCTTTAGATGGAGTGGTGTCTGACCCGCGAATTTATTTGGCGCAGTCTTTGGGCAAATTGTCGGCCAAACATCCGGGAAAACTCAATCCACTCATCACTACTGGTTTGCCTCCAAATGCCGTCTCATTCTTACAGCGCTATTGTTTGGACGCAAACGTAACCATTGCTTAAATTGATTGCATTTATAATTGTTTTATTACATCATATTATGTACGGATTTATTCATATTGTATTAAAATTAACATTGTTTTTAAAACATTTTACGGTATTTATTATCTCAAAATGGTTAATATAAAGGGTTAGGGTGTGAGTTACAAGTGCTTTGAATTCATGTTGAAATGGATGGATGGGTGGATCAGTCGTCGAGTTGATAGTCAGTATTGAGTGACCGCCAGAACTGTTGAGACATTGTTTTCTCGCACTTCTTCTCGTTGTCCATAACTATAAGTTTCTCTAAACTCTTCTCTTCGTTGTCATTGAAAAGCACTGAAAAATAGTTAAGAAAACAATGAAACGATTGACAGATAATGAAGACAATCTTCATCTTACATCCGACCACTTGTGAGTTATTCCATGTCTTATACATGACTCGCATAACTGACGCCAAAACCATGTATTCATTTGAATCGTTTGAATGGTTTTGTTGTTTCAAGTCTTTCACTCTGTTCTCCATTTCCTCGACTTTTTTCATCAAACTCTTCGTTTTGTTCGTCAGATCCGTTTTGTGACTCTTTTTGTCCGACAATTGCGAACTCAATGTCTCGACACTAGTCTTCAAATCCAACAAATGGTTATTCAAATCCGTTTCAGTGGTGATGTTGTCGTCAACGCTGCCAATGATCTCATTTAACTCATGGCTGTGTCTGGTCTGCAGCGCTTCCATGAGGTCGTTGTTCTCTGCCATCAATGCACTCAACGATTCAAACTTCGAGTCCAAGAACTGCTCCAAGAAGTCGTCAATAAATTGAAACCAATTGTCGGAAATGCTCTCAAAATGCTTCAATCGGTCACTCAATTGGTGGACCGTTTGGTGACCTCTTGGAGCGCTTCCCTGGAGAAGAGGATAGAGTGGTAAGACATGTGAGACATGTAACACATGTAACTCATGTGATGGTCGCTCACCGCTTGCGAGTCGTGCGAGTGATTGGCCACCGGTTCACACATTTCACTGCAAATGCGATTCAATTGAATAATTAAATGCAAAACACAAACACTTTTCACTCAATTGTCTCAATGTTTGCCACAAAAAGCGCTTAAAAAATAACGATATTTTCAAACCGGTCTCCCATTGGCTCAACATTTCATATCAATAAATAATGTCTAACAGAAATACAGTACATATGAAACCCTATTGTAGTCCCCCTTACAGTAAGATGTAAGCTTAAATTGAAGCAAGGTTAATGGTTATAGTTTACTTGCATTGCTAATTCATTTGAAATAATATTTTTCAAGTAAAATGCTTATAGGGCCACTGCAATAAAAGGTGAAAGGTCAATGACTGTGATTTGAATGAGTCAAAAATGGGATTTGGGGTTAAAATGTATAAATATGGCACTCCATCCTAAGCAATACTATTCTCAAAAATCAATACTTTTGATAATTGGATTATTAACTAGGTGAAATTTATAAATAGTTGCAATTTAAATAACAAGGTCGTGTTCAAAGTAGTCACTATTCAAATATGTGTTATAGCGGTCACCTTTCTATACATTTCCATATTTCGCAAATGTTTTTGCATTTTATAAATTAGTAATAAGTTTGAAAAATAAATTAAACAAGATTCATTTGAATAACTTTGAGTGTATTTATAAAATAATTTTTTTATTGAATTAATGCAAGACTTGTTTGAAGTTTGAGGACTGGTTTGTGTTGTTCGGCAGAGGTGGCCACAAATGTGACCATTCATTGCAAACCACTGTTGAACACAACTTTTCAAATGATTGAAAGATATCCTCAAAGAATTGAATCCTTAGGAAAGAATTGTTTGTTAATAACCTTAAACTTAATTACGATTGTCTGGCCGTCCCTTCATTTTACTTCAATTAGAGATAAACTACTGGTCTGTAAAATCATTGGTAAAGATAGCCTTCAAATGAAGATTTAATGAAATAAACATTGAATTTGTCGTCAAATGTATGTTTAAGGGAGAAAACCTGTCTTTTAGTGTTTAATTAATTGCCTGTAATTTCCAGACTTTTGTAACATTGCATTAAAG